TTAATATCAAAACACTAGAAGTAGGATGGCACCTGTGGCTCAAAGGAGTAGGGCACTGGCCCCATATACCGGAGGTGGAAGGTTCAAACCTGGCCCGGATCAAAAACTACAAAACAAACAAACAAAAACTAGAAGTAATCACAGGTCAAAAGAATACGTACATTTATTGGCATTCATTTATATGATAGAATACTATACACACAAAATAAACTACACAGTACATGGTTGAATTTCATGAGGGTTCATTTTTTTATTTTTTGTTTTTTGTTTTTTGTTTTTTGTTTTTAAGACAGAGTCTTACTTTGCATCCTCGGTAGAGTGCTATGGTGTCATAGCTCACAGCACCTCTTGGGCTCAAGTAATTCTTTTGCCTCAGGCTCCCAAGTAGCTAGGCCTACAGGCACCACAATGCCCGGCTATTTTAGAGAAGGGGGTCTTGCTCTTACTCATGCTGGTATGCAACCTGTGAGCTCAGGGCATCCATCAGCCTCAGCCTCCTAGAGTGCTAGGATTATAGGCATGAGAGAGGGTTCATATATTATACCATTTTATAAAGCTCAAAAATAAACCAAATTATATATTGTTTAAGTGTATACAGAAGCATAGTATGATAATATTTTTAAGAGACAACTTTTCCTGTTGTGGAGCAAGATAAGGACCACTGACTCAAATTATAATTTCAAAAAGGAGTCTTTTATTAACCGCGGGGCTGTCTCAGCAAAGTCTGCTGCAGACTAAGTGATAGAACATTGAGGGGTCTGAAGTTGGGGTTTCTCGAGTCTGAAAGTTGGCAAAGGGCCAAACAGGTGGGCTGAAAGTGAGCAATTAGAAGTAAAAAGCAAGTTGGCAAAAGAAGCAAAAAGCAAGCTCGGGGTCACGATGACCCCTTTTACCGAAGAGAACCTTGCAATTTAGTGGATTAGCAGATAGGTAACATAAAGGTCACATAAAGCAGATCTGGCAACACATTAAGCAGATTAGGCTATTAGCAAATAAGTAAACAATTTATCACAGTACTTAGCTTGTTAACCCTCATCATGTCAGTACTTGACTCATTAGTTCTTATATTGTTCTGTTCTGGCCCCCATGTGGACCATCTAAGAGTAATGGTACTTGGCATCATTTCATTTACCTCTTTTTCCCCTTCGTCTTATCCAGGGGGTGGTGTGAGGCCGCCGGCATCCATCTTATGGGGGCAATGAGGCAGCTGGCACCCATTTCATACCTAGGTAATGAAGGCAGGGCAAGGATTCAGAGTTAGAAGTTAGGTCATGGATGTTTGATATAGTTTGTTTTATACTTTAAGTAGATGTTATATATATTATCTTTATATGTCGAATACTAACTGAAAAATAGAATAGAAAGGGAAACCTTTCATAAGAACAAGTTCCAAGAATCATATAGTTTGTAATAAAGAGAAACGTAAATGAGAAACTCAGACCTAATAGTGCTTTTCTAAGTATTAGTAATTTATTATAGAGAGGTGGAAAAGAAAAAGAAGATTGACAGAGGCCATTAAAAAGGCCCGTGAGCTGGCTTGGCTCCTGTAGCTCAGCGGCTAGGGCACCAGCCACATATATAGGAGCTGGTGCGTTCAAATCCAGCCCAGGTCTGCCAAACAATGACAACAACAACAACAACAAAAAAAACCAATAGCCAGGCTTTGTGGTGGGCACCTGTAGTCCCAGCTACTTGGGAGGCTGAGGCAAGAGAATCACTTAAGCCCAAGAGTTTGAGAGTTTGAGGTTGCTGTGAGCTGTGACACCAGGGCAACCTACTAAAAGTGACATAATGAGACTCTGTCTCAAAAAAAAAAAAAAAAAAAAAGGTCCATAACTCAGAGAGCTCGAAATTTTGGCTAAAATTAAGAGTCAGCAGCCGATCTCCAGATATCCTTGCTCCTCAGTCTGTAGACTTCAGGCCTGTGAACAAAGAAGGCTGACTCCCAGGAAGTTCTTGGAGGATTCTCATGGGGCTTCATATCAGTTAGTTTCTTCGCATTGGTGAAGAATTTGGTAAATTGAATCTGCATTTAGCACAAAATGAATAGAATTCATACTTTATGAAATCCAATTAATTAAATGTTTTTTCTTCCCATCTTCTCCACCTATCTAAATCCTTATTTATCCTCCAAAGTCCTCTCAAGTCTCAGTTACTCTCTGAAGTCCTTCCTATTAGGGCATAGCTGAACTTTGTCTTCCTTCAGATCCTCCAGCTCTTATAAATTTCATGTCTATTCAGCTGCCCATAAAATCTTTGTAACATCTCTCTGAAGGTCGTGTGTACATGTATGCATATGCATGTATGTTGATATACATTATGCATATGTATGTGCACATATCCCTCTCTCAACACTGTTAGAATAGAGGTTATACTTTTTCCCATTTATGTATCTTCTCTTCTCCCACTATCATACCTCCAAAATACTTGAAGACAGCAGCTTCACCATACATTTGGGTTTTGTCATTATGACTTTTCACAGCACAGGTGCCTTTGATCCTCTTTATTAATCAATACAGATAATCAGTAGCAAATCCCTGAATTGGTTTGTTTTACATAATGAGGGAATACACAGATGAAATCCAGGTAGATGACAAGTAGATGTGAAGGGATTATGTTAACTAAACACATTCCAGGCCAGGATAAGAATTATAGAAGCTACTGTTTAAGTAAAGTACACAGAGAGGGCAGCGCCTGTGGCTGGGTGGGTAGGGCAGCGGCCCCACATAACAAGGATGACAGGTTCAAACCTGGCCCCGGCGAACTTTAAGAAAAAATAACCAGGCGTTGGGGCAGACGCCTGTAGTCCCAGCTACTCAGGAGGCTGAGGCAATAGAATGACCTAAGCTTAAGAGTTGGAGGTTGCTGTGAGCTATGTGACCTCACCGCATTCTACCCAGGGCTA